TTTAATAATTATATTATTCTTTAAATTAAATTTTATTTTATCAATGTTAGTTAATAAATTAAAATTTTGGCATTAAGAATACAATTGGAATCTTTTAAAATTATAATATTTATTAGAGAAATTGTTGATACGGTGAAATTTTAGAGTAATTGTTAAAGCTGATGCCTCAATTTAAGAAATTGGGGTGCAATTGCAAAAGGTCTTATTGCCTCGGTTCGGTTCTCATTCCTCGTGTATTGTAATCTCCATGAAAACTTTTTAGAATCATGGAAAATGATTGGTTCGTTGCTGAATAGTGAGTACATAGTTTGTTGTGAGGTATGGTATGATCTTGATTTTTGAATGGCCTCAAGATGTCACTCTCACTCGTATACCTTCTATAAATTGGCTCCAAACAAATTATTTCCATGTGCAAGGATCTTGAGATTGGCCCGTGACTGATCTTAAGGGACATGGGACCATGTCTTCCACATCAGAAATCTTTCATAAATGTAGTAGAAAAGCCTACGATGAAAACTGATCACATGTTACTATAACAAAATTGAGTTTATAGAACACTTTCAATTTTTAAGCGTCTTAATAGACTTCTTTATAGGATTTAATTTATATGATCAAAAAAATAAAGTGTCATATCTAAAGGCGTTGTAATAAGTTTATATGACGCATTTTAACGTCGTAATAAGTTTTTTAGGACTCTTTTAATATAATGCGACGTATTAGCAACTTTATAGGACACTATTTGAAAAACTATTCTATAAAAAAAGTGTCCTATAAAAAAATGAGTTTATAGGACACTTTCTCAAAAGTGTCGTATAAAGTTGTTAATGCGACACTTTGTATTAAAAATGTTCTAAAAAACTTGTTAAAACGCCCAAAAACGTCATATAAACTTATTACAACACCTCTATAGGATGTTTTATATTTTGATCCTATAAATTAAATCCTATAAAGCGGTCTATTAGGACGTTTAGAGATTGCGAGTTTCCTATAAACTCAATTCTGTTGTAGTGTGTTGAGAATGAATGACATCCCTCATATTTATATTATTTTATGATAAAATGCACCTCAGATGAATAGTACAAAGTATTTTTTTGCTATTAGTTTTCTGGGTCCTTGTGGTCTGTACGTAAAGCTTAAGAAAGTGGATAACATTCATTTGTTTGTGACTTCCATTTTGCAGAAAGTGTGATAGCAGTACGAGACATGATAATATTTCAAAACATTATTAATACAATGATGACATTTTCACTCAATAGTACGTTGCATTTGCAACTAAGGCTAGCAACAATTTGCCAAACATTCACACACTGCTACTTTGGAACCAAAATAAAATGGGTTTTATGCTACATTGAGCTGTAACTTCTGCTTATGTGTTTGAAGTTCTGCTGTTTCATGTTTCCTTTAGCTGCCTTCTGTTATGATTCTTGAATACATCCATGCTTAATTATCTCTAATTTCCCTCAACTGTCTGCTAAGAGAAGCTAGCATAACTGTTGATCAATGCCAAAGCATTGCTGGTTAAGTGTGCAACATTCACGATCTTTCCTCTCACCACTCTCTTCATTTTTGGGTCATTCACAAACCCTTCAGAGCATGTGTCTTCATCCGTCATTGCAGAACTGACCCATGTTTGTATGTCGCTGATCACTAGCCCGGAATCTTTGGAACCTGGTCTATTCATTTCCTCAAGTGATCTTTTCAACTCGTATACAGAGTCACCCAGCAACTCAATGCAGTCTTTCATGGCAGCAACCTCTCGAGGAGCCATACCATGCACTTGTGACAATTTTACCATTGCAGAAGAGGTGGATCGGGTGGTGTCAAGGGCAACGGATAGAGCTGTTTGGGCTAGTAGCTTAGAGCTTGTTTGGATTGCACCTGCTCGAGTTGAGAGTGAGTTGAAGCAGAGGGTAGGGTAAGTTGTCAAACTGCATGACGATCTTATGAATTCGACATTTGTGTTCTCAAGGGCAGAGATCAAAGTGATGGAGAAAGCCGTGTAGAGAAGTATTATAAGGAGAGTGTTTTGTGCTAGAGAATTGGTGGAATATGAGGCTTCCATATCTTGTGAATCTATGTGTTGGATGGAGGTAGAAGTTTGAATAAGAGGGTGTGAAGAGAAGTGTCTGTAGCTTAGTGTTTGAAGCTAAAGAGATAGGTTGTGGAAGTAGAGCAAGTGCAGCCCAAATTTATAGGAAGCCAAATGTAGATAGCAATGAGGTTCTGTTGATCTCACAATTACACGACAGCACCACTTAATTATTGAAAAGACCTGAACTACGTTTTAAAAAGTTGCCGACATAATGAAGTCGGAGGGGTCGAGAAATGGGACGGAGATTGCAATGTGTTCAAGTGGGGCTGCAGAATTGCATTCGCTTTTTCTCCCATGTCGCTCAGTCTCAAATGCATGCATAGTTATGACTTATTGGAAAGATATTTATGTATGCCCATATTGCTAACTTTAGTTAGATTTTAGATATTTTGTACGTATTATAATGAAGGAAGATCCAAATGTACTTGCCCTACCTGCAATCAAAGCTCTCACCAACACCTCCCCAACTTTTTTTTGTTGTTCACCAAACAAGTTCTTAACATAGAGTCTCGACTCAACAATGTTCTTTACGTGCCTTCTATTAATAAGAACATAGTTTTCGCTTCTAAACTCGATGAAAACAGGTTTGGACTCAACAATGTTCTTTACGTGCCTTMTATTAATAAGAACCTAGTTTTCGCTTCTAAACTCGATGAAAACRGGTTTGGACTCAACAATGTTCTTTACGTGCCTTMTATTAATAAGAACCTAGTTTTCGCTTCTAAACTCGATGAAAACGGGTTTGGACTCAACATAGAGTCTGGAAAGCTCGTGATTTACAAAAGAAATTTTTTGGTTGGTAAGGGATACTACCATCTCGGTTTGTATCGCCTAAATTTGAGGGATGATATGATGAAGCCGGACCAAGTGGATCTCCGGATAGTAATGTTAATGTTGTGACTGATCAAGTAGTTGATTTTTTCGTTTCTGCAATTGATGTAATTCCGACTCAATCAATAAAATTAATTCTTTGAATTATTTTGCTTGTTCAATCTCATTATGGCACAAACGTTTAGCTCATACAAATTTGAAAAATATTGAAAAAAATGCAAAATAAAAGATTGATCAAAATTGACAACAAGAATTTTGGAAAATGTGAAACTTGTGTAAAATCAAAGTTTACAAAGAAACTTTTTCCTTCAGTTAAACGGGACACATCAAATTAGAGTCAATTCATTCTGATATTTGCAAATTAAATGGAATTCTTACTCATGGAGGTAAAAAGTATTTCATTACATTTTGCGATGACTTCAGCCGGTTTTTGCATGTTTACTTATTACACTCAAAAGATGAAGCTTTTGAGGCTTTTAAATTATATAAAGTTGAAGTAGATCAACTTGAAAAACTAATCAAAATACTTCGATCAGACACAGGTGGTGAATCTTTTAATAGAGAGTTTGATACATTTTGCGAAAAGAACGGAATCAAACATGAATGCACCTCACCATTTACTCCTCAACAAAATGGTTTGTCAAAAAGAAAGAACTAACCTTGTTGAAATGGTCAACTGTATTATTGGTCCCGTTAGGATCTACAAGATGTGAATAACAGTTTGTAGAAGGAGAGATGAATACAAACACAATATTTTCAAATTTAAAATATATATTGATAAGAGAAGATCAATACAGATTTTACAAGATTGTTTGCAGAAAGATAAGGTAAGAACAACCTATCTAAACAATCTAAAGTTTACACACTTAATCTTAGCAAAGAAGAAAAGATTTATTGTTAAAAAAATAGAAGAAGGTAAGTTCTATCTGGGGAGAACTTGTTTAGAATACAATGAAAGAGATTCTAACTTGCTTTTGAAGATAAGCGTATTTTTGTTCTTAGATGTGTTTTCCTATTTTTGGTAGAGATATATCTCTGCATGGAGATAGAAAACATCTATTTATACCCGTTGCATTAAATGCACATTTAATGCAATGTAGTAGGGTTAGAACGCATGTCAAGCCTTAAGGGAAAGGCTTGTCCTTTGCTACAGTAAATAGTACAAACGCCTATTCATGAGCAGACATTCTTTCACAAAGTTGGTGGGTAATAGAGTCAACTAGTCAGCTCCGTACCGTACTAACTTTTATAAAGGGTATAGGTTTGTCTTTTGTGTGTAAAAGGACAAGACAAAATCAATCGTGCTTAACAAGCTTCTTTTGAATGCCGAATGCTTTAATAACCAGGAGGTCTCTTCAGCATTCACCGAGGCTTGGGCAGTCTTCACACATATGTAGACAGACTTGTAATCACTGAATACCGCTTCAGATCACGTACTCGTCAGTCTCTAATCTTCAGTTTCAGTCTTCGACTTTCGCTGAAGGTTCTTTGGTGTGAGTGTTGCCTTCTTGAAGTATCATTGTCGCTGATTGGATTTACAATACAAGTTCTTCACTGATCGCTGATCAGACTCAGTGATGATCGCTGGAACTGAAAAACAAAAACATAAATAGTTCACATAAGGTAAAAGGGATTATCAAATCACTAAGAGAGAGGATCAATAATCTCCCCCTATTTGATGATAACAAAACAACATAAAGAAAGTTGTATTATCAAATAATAGTAAAGAAAAGTAACATATAAAATATATGTCCCTTTTAACTATTTTGGGATCTTTTTTCAGTGAGTCAGTCTTTACTTGAAGAATTTTCTTAGGTTACATTTAAGAAAAGTTACAAGAATAGAAACTGAAACTGAAAGCTTATTCACTGACTTATAGATTGTTTGTGAATGTGAAAAGTAACACTGGAACTCATAGACTTGTGTCGCTATTACTTTTTTCAGCGATCTTTTTTAGTGAAGTACAAGAAACACTTATATTATATTCATTGGAAATGTTACAAGTTGTTCAGTACATGTCTAAAGCTTACAAACTATAAGATTAATCACTGAAAGTGGACATAGTAAGTAGATTACAAAAGAAAATGTGGACAATATTACAAAGAAAGATAAACTAGTCTAGGATGTTCAGATTAATGTAGCCAGGTACATCTTCTCCAAGCTTCTTTCGACGTAAGAATTCTCTTTGTATCTTTCAGTTCACAGCTTTTCCTTGCAAGCTATCATATTAGATGTCCCATTGGATATAGATGTAGCTCAGACATTCTATGAAATCTTACTTCAGCTTCATAGTCAAGGAATATAACTCCTAACTCAAGTTTGAAGTGTATAGAGTTGGGTATATAGGGACCCTTCTTTGGCAGATCAAGATTCAGCATAGAAATGTATATACTCTCGTATTCCTTGAGAACTTCATCTAAGGAGAACCTTATTTCATGTTCATTCCTTAGGAATGGTCCGTCATTAGGAATGGTCTCCAGCCATTCACTGTATCCATAGTGGCTAAGGTAGGAAGGGTACTCGGTGATGGCATTGAGATTGTCCCTGGTGATGAGCATTGAGACAAGAGTTCAACCGTCTTTGGATTGTCCGCTGATGCTGACGCTCTTGATCGGGTGATAACTAATTCTCTTCTTCAGCTTTGCTTCACTCTAGCGCTTGTCTCGCTCACTCAGCTTCAGGTTTTTCTTGTGCTCATCTTCTGCAAGAGAAAGAAGTTTAGATTGGGCTTGGACAGCATTCACCTTCTTTTTGGACTTTCTCTTCGGAAGAATCTTTTCAGCTAGTGACTTGGCCAGCTTTAGGCTGTCTTCAATCTGCTTCTTCTGAAGCTCTAGCTCTTCTTCAGCCCTTAACGTCTCGAGTCTTTCAGCTTCTGAAAGGAAGCCAAACTCACCACCACTAGAGGTACGAAGTGGAATTTGTACTCTAGTCTGGTCGAGTGACTCCTTTAGCTGAGCCATCTGCTGGTCGGTAGGAGCACTGGAGACAGGGTTTTCAGGGACCCACTCCAGTCGACCGCAAGTAGTAGAGGAAATCTATAGCTGATAAAGTGAAGTGACTACTACCTGAGAGGTAGAGTCTTCAAATAAGGGTTGAGGGTTTTTGAACAGTACCTTCAGGTTCCCTTCTTCAGCGACACCTTTACCTTTCAACTTAGGGTCCTGGTTCTTTGATGAGGTTGACTCTTCTTCCCTTTGTTCCCCCTGGGATACAACATCCCTGAGGGCGACTCTCTTGGTGGCGATTTTTGGTCTTTGATAATGGATGGTGAAGTTATCTTCATCATCGTCGTCATCATCACCATCTAGGTCACTGCACAGTCTGGAAGGTCAGGTTCGTCATCTTCATCATCATTATCATCATCACCAGCAACAGGTGCATAGGTGATGGGAAGATCATCATCCCTAGGGATGGCATCAACTTCCTTAGCTGTGACAGCTTCATTGGAGGTTGGAATTGCTTGGCAATCTCAGCTTCAGCTTCAACTCTAGAAGCTTCAACTTTAGCTTCAAGGATTGCTGGAGCAGCAGATGGTCCAGCGGCGTTGGACCTCATCTCCCCCTCTCTGGCTAAGACTTGAGAGTATAGGCCAAAGAGTTCGTCCACACACTGATGCTGGAGAACCATCATTTCCTTTAGCCGCGACAGAGCGCTGACTAGAGTTGTCATTGCCTCACACGTCTCATAGAGTTGAGCGCGGTCATGAGTAGTGAAGGAAGGCGGGATCATTGGAGGTGGTTGACGGATAGCATCCAGGATCTGCTGGAGAAGCTCCGTCTGTTGAAAAGACTTAGCCTGAGCATCATTAAACTTGCTGGATAGAACAACGATGGCTTCAGCATTGGCTTGGACAGCCTCATGTAGAGTCGATTGCTGACTCCTTACTTCTTGAACATCAGCCTTGACAGTTGAGAGGTCTGCATCAAGATCTGCCTTGCGAGGCATATCTCGATGAACTTCAAACATCTTGGAAAAGACACTATCGATGGTCGGGAGGAGAAGCTTGACATCAGAGGCCATGTCATAAGTTTCATCATCTTCCCTGTCTTCTTCCTTCTCTTCTACGTCCATAAACTAGGGCGCAGAAGGACCTGCAATAGATGGAGAGTGAGCATGAAGAAGCTCAATGTTAGAAGAAATGAAGGGGAAGGAAGATGGAATACCTGAGGGGCCATCAGTGACATCCAAAGGATTGTCACTGGCTTGCTCAATGATGCCCTCGAAAGGATAGGCATCTATATGCTGAGGA